CGGCGTTGTCGCTATTCTTCCTGCCACGTTTGCCCCCTTCGTGCCAATTGTGGTCCTGCCAGGATTGCCATCCTGTCTGCCAGGACCACTCTGCCTGCTGATCCCACGGTTGCTGGCAGGAAACTGGAGCTCCAGCCCTCTGCTCGGTGTGAGCCCTTGCCAGAGGTGTTCCTGATGTGCCTCTCGCGGATGGTTTCCAAATCAACGTTGAGCCCCAGCTTCCGGTCCATAGCGTGGGCGTCGAAGCCCGCTCTGCGCCAGGCGTCAAGGAAATCCTTGCAGGTCTGCACGTGGTTCCGGCGGGGGTCACTCTTGGGCTTGCCTTTGCGCGGGAATTTCTGCGTGTAGCTGTTCCAGATTCCGTTGAAGGCTCCACCCAACACGTTCTCGAGACGCGCGATCATGTCAGCTGGCTGCTCCCCTGTCTGCTCCAGGTTGACTCTGCCCAGGTGCACACGGTACATAGGTCCTCCCGTGTTGGGGTGGCGGAAGTTGTCGAAGGCGTGTGCACTGCCACCTCCCGGGGAGGGGTCGGGGTGCCTGCGGTCGCCATAGCCAGGAGGCGCTGCTTGACTGTCTGCGGGGTGAGGGTCCTGCGCCGTCTAGCCACTGCGGTCCTGCTGCCTCCACGGCGGTGGCCTCTCGCCTGGGGCTGGCGGGCCTGTGGGCGCCTGCTGCCAAAGCCGTCCTAGGCGCTGGCGCCCCGAGGGCACCAAGGGGGTCATCTGGCGAGCTGTCTTCTGGAGCCACCTCTCGATCGCCTTCGATGGGGGTCGCCTGTGGCGGGGGGCTGGTGATCGTGGTCGATGTCGTCGTCAGCGTCGGCCGCCGGGTTCGGCGACGGTGCTGCGGAGGCCTGAGACTCGCGAAGTCGACGGAGTCCTTCTCTGTGGGAGAGCCGATGTCGTCTTTTAGTGCCACGGAGGGGCCAGGTGGCTCTGTATCTCGCGCAGGTTCACCGCTGGGGGCGAGTCCCTCGTTCCTGCTGGTGGGGATCTTTGTCGCAAACGCAAGCGAAGGTGCCAGCGGCGAGTCGAGTCAGCACGGGCTGCGAGCGGAACTAATTGCCGGCGCGCGCGCGGAGCTAAGCAGGACCAGCCGCCGGGGGAAGCGGCTGCGCCGGGGCTGTGCTGCAGCGCCGAGGGTGGGGACTACAAGCTGCTGGGGGCTGCCAAGAAGCTGCAAACGTGCGGGTACCATGGGCTGAATCACCAGGTATGTGAATTGGACCTGTTCGCCACAGGGCGCCAGAGGTCTGGGCTGCGGACCAACAGGGGGCACGCCTGGCCGAACAAGAAGGCCGAACCACTCCTGAGCGAACCGGCGGGCCAGAGACCCAAAGGGCCAGCGGACAGGGAACCAGAAGCCAGGGAAGAAGTGCAAGCACTCGCGCCGGAACTGGTGCGGGTACCATGGGAGCTGAATCGCCAGGTACGTAGGAGGACCTTGTCGCCACAGGGCGCCAGAGGTCGGTGCGCCACAGACGTGGCGAAGCGCGGGACCACTTGATAGCCCAGCGAGTGACAGCGGACCGACGGGCGACGCGCAAGTCCGTCCAAGAAGGCTGAACCACTCCTGAGTGAACCGGCGGCCATAACCCCAGAGGGCCAGCAGTACTGACAGACACGCCCAACTGTGGCAATGACTGAGGACCAGAGGCCAGGTGGTGGGGATACTTTTTTGGTTGGCGGCTCCCTGGCGAAGGTCAAGAAGCGGGGTGACTACGAACGGGGCGCGAACGAAGCTAATTGGCCGCAGTGGCGTATGCACATGCGAGGGACAAAATGACCCAAATTAGACGCCAAAGGCCAGGCAGCGAGCAGCGGCAACGGCGGTACAGCGTGGCCACGTGTTCTGTAACAGCGGGGAGTCGTGGTAGGGATACTTTTTTAAATTCGCGGCCCGCAAGGAAAAGTCCAGAGGGCGGTATGACCGAGGCTGGGGCACAGGGACAGATAATTGGCGCGAGAACGCGCGAAGTGCACCTGCAAACAAATTAGGAAGAGGGGCGGCCACAATTGGGCAACCATCGAGCACAGGCCAAACCCGCAGGTGGGGCCGAACCGCAGCCCTGCCGAAGGCACGTAGACCCAGGCAAAAGCCGCTGAGCGCGTGCCAGCAGAAGAGGGCAACGTGGTGGGGATACGCAAGGCGTCAAGAATTACAACTCGCGCTCGCGAAGCCACAAGCGCCTACACTCTACGTCAGCGTCTCGCTGCCCGACCCAATCCCTGGCACGTGACTACAGCACCTCTGCGCTCCCGGGGCAACGACCCGTCGCGAATCCCTACGAGTTACAATCCTTGTGGGGTAAAACAGTTACACATTCGAGCTCCCGAGGCCACGACCCCACCCCACGGAGGCTGCCCAAAAGGCGCCCCCTCACCAGAACCGAACAACTAGCATGCTCTGCAGTGCGATGTGTGTTTGGGCGGCGTTTTTCGTCATCCCCGTCGTTTCCTGGATATCTGGCCCGGGACCCGAGGCAATGGCCCCACCAAAAGGCCAAGGGAAGCGTGCCCCCGAAACCGCAGACCCTAGAACATTACCGTAGAGGAGCACTCCCGAGACCGTCATCTCCCACGAAGTGCTACAAATGCGCGCAACCAGCCAGCCAGACACCAGCCAAAACCAGCTACCAGCCACATATTTACTCAAGCCACCAACCATGCAAGCATTCAAGAGGGGAGCTAGCGGCAGAGGGCGACCTCCTTTAGTGATATACGAATACAGATACGAATGGAGCACAAGTTGTTTTCAAAATCCGCCGGCCACTCGGCGTGTTGTCGTCGTCTTCGTCGTCGTCGCAAGTCCCAAGGACATTTAGGAACTAAGAGAGAAAAACGTCGTACTGAAGTCGATTCCCTCCCCTCTTCCCCTCCCTGACGAGGGGGGGGCACGGGGGGAGGGAAAGGGAAGCGGGGACGGGGGGGGGGACGGGAGGGGGTCCCGGCTAAGACTCCGCCCCCGGGGGTCCCGGCGGCCCCCCCTTCCTTCCCCGGTCCCCCGTGGACAGGGAAGACGAAAAGGAGGTTGGGATACCGCCCCCCCGAGGGTTCCAGCCGGGTCCCCGGCGGGGGCGCCAGCGGGGGTCCCCAGGCTAGGTCCCGCCTTCAGGGTCGGCGGCACCGGCCGTCAGGCCTTCACCGTGGAAGGCTCTGGCCCTAGCGCCGCGCACATCCGTCTTGAATCTGCAAAGCTACACGGATGGAGCACAGGCGGCGTTCAAAACAGAGCTCTCCACCCGGCGCCGCGCGCACTCGCTTCATGACGTTGCAGCAATTACAGAACGCAGGGCGGGCCGTGTCCAAGAGGTGGCTCTCGCCTCAGCGCCGCGAACACTTGTCTGACAGATGCGAAACAACGACAGGATGGAGGGTACTCCATTTCAAGATAATGTCCTCGCCTTAGCGAGGACAATGATGCCAGGATAAGATTGGCTAAGGATGCGTTCCAAGATTTCCAGAGCATCTAGCGGCCCTCGTTTAGGAGGAAACTGGAAAATAGGAAATCGTGGTAACCTTGGAAGTCTGGGAACGTATCATTATCATGACCTAGCGCCGCGCACACTCGCTTTGACACGTGCAGCAGGTTGCCATGATGGACGGCGTCTCCCTGCAGAAATGGCGCCCTCGCTCGAGTCTGCACACCTTTGCAGGCCTTGCAAGGATGGACAGCGGCTCCTTCTCAAAATGAGGCTCTCGCTCGAGTCTCCCCAGAACGACAACGTACCTACCCGAAACCTCAACAGATGCAGCAGCTGCACGGGTGAACGGCGGCTCCTTCTCAGAGGGGGGCCCTCGCCCGAGCCCTCCTCGATGGTCGTAGCCGTAAGTGCAAACGCGTCTGCCACAACCGGCCCTCAACACGGGAGAGCTGCACGGTCATGCCTCTTCGCATTCCTGATTGCTCGATAGACGGATGCGAGGCGGTTCCTTTCTAGAGAGGGGAGTTCGCCCGAGGGGCAGGTCCATTGGATGCCGGTCTTCCAGGGGGTCGCTCCTTGGAGTGGGAAAGAAAACATGTAGGGACTTAGAGGGAGGGGCTCGGGACGGGGGGGTGTAGTGCAGCATCGCTGATGCTTCCGGGGTTTGCTCTGGTCCTCCTCTTCCTCCTCCTTCTCCTCCTCCTCCTCCTCCCCCTCCTCCTTCTCCTCCTCCTCCTCCTCCTCCTCCTCCTCCTGGTCCTCCTCCTCCCGCTGAGGAGATGCGGACAAATCTGATGGTCCCTGACGCAGGGCACCCCGCCGGCTGCGTACCTAACGTGGGGGGCCGCCTTGTACTGGGCCGCGCGGGTTGGGCCCGACTGGCCACCCGCGTCTGCGAGCGAGGTCAGCTGCCACAGCAGCGCGCAAAGCTTTCAGGCTCGATTGTAGACTCGATTCGAAGCTACACTGCGATGCCTTGTCTTGTCTTGTATTGTCTCCTCCTCCTCCTCTTCCTCCTCCTGCTCCTCCCACTTCCCGTCTAGGAGACGAAACAAACATGCACAAATATCAACTGTTGGCGCTCCGCGCGGACTTCTTGGGGTCTGCGCTGGACCCGAGCGCGCCAGGGGCGGCGCCGAAGGCGCCGCCGGGGGGGCCCCAGCGCGGAGGATCCAAGAACTCCGCGCGGAGAGGCCAGAAGTGTACGTTCATGGCGCGTTCTGCTCTTCGAACGTCCCTGTCCTCGTGGCGGTCTTGGGAGCGGCCAAGATGGGGGTGTCCAAGAGGGGGGGGTGCAAATCATGACCGGCGGCATGTGCGCGGCCCGGCGGGGGGGCCAGGGACGTAATGAAATATCAAGAGGCGCCATGAAATCTGGGGAACTATCATGACCCAGGCCATGATATCACCCCCCTAGTCATCACCCCCCACTTTTCCGCCCCCAATGGCGGTTGGGCAGGAGGAGGAGGAGGAGGAGGAGGAGGAGGAGGAGGAGGAGGAGGAAAGGGGAAAGAAGGGGGAAGAGGAGGAGGAGAAGGAGGAGGAGGAGGAAGAGGAGGAGGAGGAGGCGGACCTCCACGGTGAGCTCCACCGGGTTCTGGACGATCTTCTCCTGGGTCTGGATCACGGGCACGTGCACGATCTCCTCCGAAAAACGGCGCGGCGGGCGCCCGCAGATGCTCGCGGCCTCTCGCGCGCGCGCCCCCCTCTCGATTGGAGCAGAAGCCTCCCGCGGGACAGGGCAGGGGTACGGCTCCTGCGGGAGGGAGAAGAGAGAGGAGGAGGAGGAGGAGGAGGAGGAGGAGGAGGAGGAGGAGGAGGAGGCGGAGGAGGAGGAGGAGGAGGAGGAGGCGGAGGAGGGACAAAAAGGAAGGAGGAACAGGAGGAGGCAGGGAAAGATGAAGGAGAAGACTGGAGGAAGAGGAGAAGGAGGGAGACAGGAGGGTAAAGCGTAAAGCAGGAGACAGGAGGAGGAGCAGGAGGAGGAGCAGGAGGAGGAGGAGGAGGAGGAGCGGCCAGCAGCCAGCAGCAGCAAAAGCTCTGGCTCTCGGTCCCCGGGGGGGGGGGTCGGGGAGCGCTGGCCGTGTCCTCGATCTGCTGCTCGATCGGCACGTCGACGATCTGGTCCACGTGCTCGTGGTGCAGGCGCTCCTGCGGGGGGCACGGGCAAACCTGAGGGCCAGGATGCGCGGCACGGATGCGCGAGGGCCTTGGACGCCCACGCCGGAGCTGCTCGAGCGGGGCGGGCCGTCGAGCGGTCGAGCATGGACCGACGATGTCCCAAGAGGCAAGGATGCACGGCGTACCCTCTTCCCAAACATGCGGCGTCCCGATGTTTGTCAGGACGGCGTCCCCGGCAGCCCCGACCCCGTCCCCGGGGCCGGTGTCTCATCCTGGGCCCTCTCTTGACGCCCCCGGGGCCCAGCGAGGGCCCACATGGGGGCCGAAAATCGCGAAAATTGGAGGCCTGGAAATGGGCACCAACACCAACACCCGGGGTTGCCTCCACAGGGGGAAGATGATCCTAGATTTCGGCGTCGGTGGCAATGTTTCGGCCACCTTGGAAACCAGAATATTACCACCATCACCGAGATCGGGATCCTCTTCCCTCGGTGGAGGCGCACCGCCGATATTGGTATTGGTGTCAACCTCTAGGCCTGCGAGAAAAGCCGCCCGTCCTGATTGTTGCCACGACGCGAGCACGTCTGGGCTGGGAGGCCGATCCTCCCTGCCGTCGGCGCTGGCCGTGTGGTGCCCGGGCGTGGGCGCGGGGAGGCCCGCGCCCCGGCCCGGCGCGGGGCCGCAGGGGGTCGTCCCCCCCCCCTCGGGCGGAGGGGGCCGCACGGGAGCCGAGGCCGCCCCCCCCCCGCGGAGAGCCGGGGAGGGCTGCCTGCAGCTCCGGGCGGAGCTGGCCATCGCTCGGGCGTCCATTGCCTGTGCCTTGTTCGGCCTCGTGCGCGGCTTTTTGTCGCCAAACGGTCAAGGATGCTCCTCGATGGTCTTCGCCGAAGGAGACATGCACACGTCCAGGCGATGCCAAGGGAGCAGCTCCTGCTGGGAGGAGAAGGGGGGGGGGGGGGGGCGGGGGAGGGGGGGGCGGAGGAGGAAAGGGGGGCGGGGAGGAGGGAGGGGAGGAGGAGGAGCAACAAAGGGAGACGGGAGGGCGGGAGATCAGGGGAAGGAGGCAGGGAGGAGGAGGGAAGGGAGCAGAGGAGGAGGAAGGGGGAGGGAGGGGAGAGGAGGGGGGAGGGCAGAGACTGGGGAGTGGGAGGAAGAGGAGAAAGAGGACGGGGAGGAAGAGGGGGAGGACGCGAGACGCAACGATCCCTCGGATCCGTGCCCGGGCAACCCAAGCAAACAAGATAGCGGGGAGGAGCAGGCTGGGTGGGGGGGAGGAGGAAGAGAAGGGAGAGAATGAAGAGGCGCGAGCGCTCCTGCTGCACGACCGTCGGCACGTGCACGATCTCCTGCGGGGGCAGGCGGGGGCGCCGGTGCGACAACTGCGCCAAGCCCCTCCAAGGCCGCGGGACGGACACGTCTGTGAGGCCCCCCAGGGCCAGCCTCTCTCCACCTCCTGCTCGTGCACCTCCCGTGCCTCCTCTTCCTCCGCATGGCCTTCCTCCCATTCCCTCCTCCACCTGCCCCCTTATCCCCCTCCCTCTCCACCCGCAGCGGCCAGGGCCGTCGCGGGAATGACGGCGCTCCACGTGCGAAATCCACGCCGTGCAGTCCAGTAGCCACAGAATTCGCGAAACATCGGTTCCTCCTGCTCATCCTCCTCCTGGTTCCTGGCTCCTGAAGGCCTGAGGGTTCGTCGCACGCGGCCTCCCCCCCAAGGCTGGTCGGCCCTGGGGGATTGGATGTTGCCACCGGCTGTAGGAGATCCTTAGTACAAGAAAAAGAAGACAGGCAGAATGAGGAGGGAAGAACGGCGAGCCATCATAACCTCAATCATCACAACATCGAAGAGGGGTGAGTATGGGGCCACCGCCACTCGTCCTCCTCCTTCTCCTCCTCATCCTCCTCCTGCTGCTCCTCCTCCTCCTCCTCTTGCTCCTCCTCCTCCTCCCTTTCCTCCCTGGTATCCTCCTCCTCCTCCTCCTCCTCCTCCTCCTCCTCCTCCTCCTCCTCCTCCTCCTCCTCCTCCTCCCCCTGGTCCTCGCTCTCATCAGCTCCTGCTCCTCCTCCGCATCCTCCGCCTGCTCGGCCTGTTCCTCCTCCCTGGCCCTCCCGCACCTACTGCCTCCCCTTCCCTACGCTTGGCGGCGAGCGCGGGGGAGAAGTGAGAAGGAGAAGGCCTTCTCAGAAGGCTCAGAAGTCCCCTGGCCTTCTGCAAAGTTGTCTCTTCTAAGCCTTCCCCGAAGACAGAGAACCATTCCCGCAAGGCGCGGGGGCTCCCGAGAAGTCCCGCCGCCTTCTGAGGGGGCCTTCTCCTTCTCGTTTCCCCCCCTCGCTCGCCGCCGATGCGCATCGCCCGCGCGCTGGGCCCGGGGATTTCACGCCTGCGTCGAAAGAAAAGCACTGCGCGAGACGCCGTGCGTGGCGCGGGGAAGGCGCCGCTTCTGCTCGTGAGCTGGCGATGAAACGGCCAGGAGGCGCTCGCCCCTGCGCAGCATAAAACAGCCTATTGGACAAACTCCTGTCTACTCTCCTCCTCCTCCTCCTCCTCCTCCTCCTCCTCCTCCTCCTCCTCCTCCTCCTCCTCTTGCGTTTCCCCCTTTTCCACCTTCTCTTCGTTGTCCTCCTCCTCCTCCTCCTCCTCCTCCTCCTCCTGTTCCCCCTTTGCCTCCTTCTCTGCTTCTTGTTCCTCCTCCTCAGGTTATTCAGTTGTATTAGTATTGGTGTTACCCATCGGAGGTGAAGGGGTGAGATCGAAGTGGAACGGAGAGCCCCCTACCGGGAAATCGACTTCGGTTTCGTGTTCGTGCGTGCCGTGCGGGCGAGGCGAAGCTGCGTGGGCGGGCGAGAGGAAAGTCTCCTGTGGCTGAGGCGCGGCCGGACCAAATGTCTCCCTTCTGGGCGGCCGGGGCCCCGCAGTGTCCCGCCGGTGTCCCGCTGGTGTCCCGTGTGGCTGAGGCGCGGCCGGATCAAATGTCTCCCTTCCGGGCGGCCGGGGCCCCGCGGTGTCCCGCCGGTGTCCCGCCGGTGTCCCGTCGGTGACCCGATGATGATGATGATAATGATGATGATGATGATGATGATGATGATGTTGATGATGATGATGATGATGATGATGATGATGATGATGATGATGATGAGGAGGAGGAGGAGGATGATGATGATGTTGATGTTGATGTTGTTGATGATGATTGTGATGATGATGTTGGTGTTATATTTTGATGATCGGTAGTGAGATCGATAGTGAGGTCGAATGTGAGATCGATAGTGAGATCGATAGTGATATCGATTGTGAGATCGAGCGTGAGACCGAATGTCAGATCGATTGTGAGATCGATTGTGAGATCGATAGTGGTATTGGTAGTGAGATCGATTGTGAGACCGAATGGGAGATCGATTGTGAGATCGATTGTGATATCGATAGTGAGATCGACAGTGAGACCGAATGTGAGATCGATAGTGGGATCTATTGTGAGATCGATTGTGAGATCGATCGTCAGATCAATTGTAAGATCGATCGATTGAGATTGATAATGAGATCGATAGTGAGTTCGATAGTGAGATCGATGGTGAGACCGAATGTGAGATCGATTGTGATATCGGTTGTGATATCGATAGTGAGATCGGTAGTGAGACCGAATGTAGATCGATAATGAGATCCAAAGTGAGTTCGATAGTTAGATCGATAGTCAGATCGAATGTGAGATCGATTGTGAGATCGATTGTGAGATCGATTGTGAGATCAATAGCGAGACCGAATGTGAGATCGATTGTGAGATCGATTGTGAGATCGATTGTGAGATCGATAGTCAGATCGACTGTGAGATCGATCGATTGAGATCGATTGTGAGATCGGTAGTGAGTTCGATAGTAAGATCGATCGAGTGCGACGTTGGTCCCTTCCCCCCCCCTCACCTCCGTATCACCCGAAGGGTGGTCGTATAGGTAATGTTATTCGTGTTAAATGTTTGTAATACCGAATAATAGCATTATGATGGTTATTACTGCCTTCCTAAGTATTAGTGTGCTTGCTGGTATTATTGTCATGTTTCGTATTACTACTATGTTTACTATTACTGCGACTATGTATTAGTATTACTAGTAGTACTATGTTTCGCTTGCTTATCATCACTGCTATGTTTATCATTAGTATCCCTCCTCTTGTTCCTCCTCCTCTTTCTCCTCCTCCTCGTGCTCCTCTTTCTCCAACTCCTCATAATCCTCCTCCTTCTCCTCCTCATGCTGATCCCCCTTCCGCATCATCCACCCCTCATCATGTTGGATACCTCCACCCTGTCGCACCCCCAGACGCGGCGGTAGGGCGGGGCGGGCGATTCGCCTGAGACGTCTTCACCACTGATGATCCTGAAGCTTGAAATTAAGAACAGTTACGCGTATGGAGGGGGTCATCTTCAACATGGGGCTCTCGCCTACGGGTTGCGAACAATAGTCTTCAACGCTTGGAACAATTACAAGGACGGAGGATGGCTGAATGGGGCCCTCGATTGAGACCTCCTCGAAGTTCATGACGAGAAATGTGATGCTGGCATCAGTCAAACCGGTGGAGGCGGTCCTTTTTCAAAACTGGGATCCCGTTAGACACCTCGCTGAACTGTATGATCATACCTATTTCGCACTCCGTACTCTAGAGTGATGATGCAAGGCAATTCCGTTTGAAAACGGGGCGCAAGCCCGTAACTTTCAAGGTGTAGTGAAACGGAAGGCGTGTAGGGACTTATGAGCAGGAGACTTTGGTCGATAGGGTGTGTTGCAGCATTGTTGATTCACCGTGGTTTTACTCTGGTCCTCACCAACGTGAAATGAGATGCCTCTGGGGGGGCGACTTCAATTCAGAGACAGACCGTGGTTGGCGTGGAGATGCGTTGCAGGAGGCCACAACAGAGCCTGGGCTGGACATCTGCAATGGCCCAGAGCATATGGATCCAGAAAACGCTTGGACTTTCAAGGGCTCGTTGGGGCAAAAACGAACGATCAACCATTGCTTAGTGTATTCTGGCCTCCCGGTCGCGCGTGGGTCGGCAGGTCTGTTCTTGGGGTTGAGATCCGAACATCGGGCTGCGCATTGCCGTGTTTCCGTCCCGCCACCCACGAGGAGGTGGGCGAAACGGCGCCGCAGAAACTGGCGACATGTGGATTGGGGCTGGTGTCCCCAGGCAGTTCGCACCAGCAGTATCAATGACGCGAGGAGGAGGAGGAGGAAGGAAGGAGGAGGAGGAGAAGGAGGAGTAGGAGGACGATTCAGGCATCCTCGTGCTCAGTTGAGGACGTGAAGAACCCAGCAAGCCAGGGAGCGTCTCCACCCAACAAGCGCGCGCGCGCGTCGCGTGCCCAGACATTGCAAAGCGCGCGGGGCATGTGGCACGAGTCTGCTCTGAGGTTCGGCAGGTCCTCCTGCAGGCGGACTTCGGAAGAGGCAGTGAAGAACAGCCCAGGAAGCACCAGCAATATAACCAGGGAAGCATCGGCACATCGGCCCCAGACTCTTGCATGGACTGCCTCTGAGCAGTCCTCCTGTAGAGGGGCACGCCCGAGGAGGAGGAGAAGGAGGAGGAGGGGGAGGAGGAGGGGGAGGAGGAGGAGGAGGAGGAGGGGGAGGAGGAGGAGGAGGAGGAGGAGGAGGAGGAGGAGGAGGAGGAGGAGGGGGGGGGAGACGTGGAACACCCAAACAATTGGAGACCCATCGCGACTCTAGGCATCTTCGCAAGGGCCGTGCACGGCTGGATAAGGAGGCGCCTCGACTCCCAACAATCAGAAGATCAGTTCGGTTTTTCCGGTCTGCGCGCTCAACTCTACATGCTCTTACTGTGCTTGAGTCTGTGATATCTAAGGGGATCGAGTGGCACGTTCCTGTCTGGGTGTGAGCATTGGTTTGAAAAACCTTCGACCACGTGGAGCATGACACCTTTTTCCGCTCACTGGAACAGCAAGGTCTGGGAGAACATCTGCTCCAAAGGCTGTATGATGGGCAGATGGGACCTACGTTTTTCCATCAAGCAGGGCGACCGACAGGAAGACGTGCTCGGCCCCGTCCTGTTCAACGCGGCGCTGGAGGGGGCAATTGACAAATGGAATCAAGGCTGACTGACCACAGGGGTTCGCTTTGACAACAAATTAAGACGACGCTCGGCTGACGAACGCCGGCTACGCGGATGACATATATATATATATATATATATATGTACATGTGTATTAATATTCGCACAGTCATTGGACGAGGGTGTGCCAATGCTCGAATATGTCGCTTGAGCTTGGCCCTTTGACTGGAGTTGGACGCAAAGAAAAAATCATAACGACGGAGTCCATCAAGCAGGATAACCAGGTGATCACA